AATATATAAAATAATAATAACTCTGCAATAATTCGTTTACACAAAGAAACAGATAAAAATAAACATTCAAAAGAAGTGAAGCAGCAGAATTTCATCTTCCGGAAAAAGAACCACTAGGAATAAACAAAGAATAAAAACCTTTTGTAATCTACTGACGTCATTTTTCTAAGAATCCACAGATAAATTGCGAGAAATGTAAAGTGAGCTTTAAAGAATGAACAGAAATAAAAGAAGAGTAAAATTCAGTTCTAACATTTACAAAAAAGATAAAGAACTGGAAAATATCCAGGAATACATCGACCTAGGACAGATGATAATATTAAAAAAAGCCACCGCGTGAAATAAAATTGACGTAGTTGTAATGAGAAATACCTTGGTAATATACTTAAAACACAAGATGTATGGCGAACGTCTATTGTCGGCTGTGACATATGTGAGCGAAATATATAAATTAGCAAAACTGTTTGAAATTACTCCCCTCCAATGCAGAAAAATCAAAGAAAATAGCAACGATAGAGATAACACCGAGAAGAGGTGAAAAAGAATAAAAGAACAGATCAAGATCAGGGCGAAGAGAAAAACAATTAAACAAAAAAGAGATATGACGAAAACAAAGTAAAAATAAAAGATAACAGATGGAGCAAAAGTTTGCTTCATTGGTACTCAGTGAATAGCTAATGTAATAAGAGCCGATAAATGACAGAGAGATGAATTAAAAATGACCTGCCGTAGGAATACATGATAGAGAATAACAGAATCATGTAAAAAATCGTGAAAGCTATTGTCTTTGATAAGCAATACCTGATGTTTCAGTCTTTTAATGCCATATCTGGTCAGATTTTTTATTATCTGCAACTTACCATATATTCTTGGAAAAAGAGTTAAATAGTTTCCTGTTGCCCTCTCCATGGTTGGGAATTCAGTCTGGTTTCTATCCAAGGTTAAAGAGAACTGTCTGTCCAATTATTTAATTGTTTAGAGCAGTGGTTTTCAACCAGGGTACCGCGTTCCGCCAGTAAAGACCAGGGGTTCCGCAAGAAGTTACACAAGTCACACATGATTGATAGTAATTTTTATTGCAGGGTTTTCTCGAGCCACTGGAATGTTTCCTTGTGGTTCCGCTCCAGCAAAAAGGTTGAAAACCACTGGTTTAGAGTGTTGAAAGAAAGACAGGTTCATGTCTTCCCCAAGGGAATTAGTGATAACGTAAACGCAACAGACGAGAACAGAATTCGAACTTGGCCGCCAATTCCGCTTTTCGTGTCAATATCCGTTTCACTATCCGCACATCCTCAAGTTTGTTACAGAAATCATATACCATCATATGATGATATCCTGAGATATGGGAGGCCAGTTTCATTAGAATCTATATTTATTATATTCCTGCAAATTAATATTAAAGGCTGAAAAATTGGTTAAAAAGTGCAGCATTAAACAAAGATCAATATTTCTAATACCCAGATCACCCTCATAAGAAAACAGGTTTCAGTTGCTTGAAATCTTTTCGAAAGGACCCAATTTGGATCCAGAGAGGATCCTTAGACTTGTGGGTTGCAATCTCAGACGCTACCATTGAGCCACCGCTTGAAAAATTACCATAATAACCCAGTCACCTGTACTTAATCGTTTTCGTTGTGCAACAAAGAAAAAATGCAGCATTAACTTAAAAAAGGTGAAATTATTTTGACATTTTCGAAAATTTAATCTAATCTCAGTTTTTTTTTTCTCCTGGAATTTAGCTAAAACAGCGCATGTTCAGACGGAAGCTAAAAAAATATTTTAAAAAAGCAGCAACTAAAAAAGGTAACTGTAAACAAATTAAGCAGTGAATTGGTTAAAAAGTGAATTTAGGGATTCTGGGTGATTAACGATAGGGGTGGGGGGATATATGCCACCAACTAGAATCTCCGAAAAGATGATATATTTTTTTATAGGGGGGAGAGGAAATTGTAAATTAAAATGAAGGTGGTGGGGAGAGAGAAATGCAAAGAAAAACTTACTTTTCATAAAATATGAGAAAAAATGTTGAGGAACGTGGGGAAATTGGTAAAAGGGAAGAAAAAGAAAAAGGGAAAGAAAGAAAGAAAGAAAGAAAGAAAGAAAGAAAGAAAGAAAAGGAAAAAGTTCAAATCAAGTTTAAAACGAGACAAACGGCGAAGAAAAAGAAAAGAAAAGGAGGAAAGGAAGAGCAAAGGAGATAAAACAAGTGAAAATAACAATGTGAAGTAAAAAGGGAAACACAAAAGAAAGTAATGAAAGAAAGAAAGGAAGGAAAGACGAAAAAAATGAGAAATAAAGATGGATGAGGTAAAATGGCTGAAAAGAAAGAAAAACAAAGAATTAATGAAAGAAGCAAACAAGTACAGAAAGACAGAAAGAAAGAAAGAAAGAAAGAAAGAAAGAGTGTACTAAAAGAACAAAAGAAGGGAGGAAAGAAGATGATGTAAAAAAAGGAAAAAGAAAGAAGGAAAGAAAAAAAAGCATGAAAAATGAATGAAATGCAAAGAAACCTTAAGAAATGCTAAAACAAACAAAAGAAGTAGAGAAAGGAAAAATGTTTTGGAAAGAAAACACGTACAAAAGTTATTATTATTATTATTATTATAAAGCGATCGATACGGTTATAAATTGTTGAAATGATATTGAGGTGTGTGTGTGTGTGTGTGTGTGTGTGTGTGTGTGTGTGTGTTGGGAGGTGAGGATGATTGGAATGTGAGAGCAAGCGCCGGTCCATGAATGCCCGTTGGCGCCCTATTTGTACGTATGCGTGTACTAGCTTCCATGGATCTTTAGTCCTCGACATATGGATTTAGGCTCACTTGATTTTAAGCCAACCGTTTCCAAAGAATCGGTGTCTTCTCTCTTTATTTATATGTCCACTTGTCATTTGAGTTGGCTTGGTAACTGAAATTGCCCACTGTTGCCAACAACATCCGGTTGTTCCAGCCCGGCGATGAAGAGTCAAGATTTTAATTGCTCATTCGTAAAGCAAGCATATCTATCTATCTATCTATCTATCTATCTATCTATCTATCTATCTATCTATCTACCTCACTTTGTTCATTATCTATCTATCTATCTATCTATCTATCTATCTATCTATCTATCTATCTATCTAATGCAATTCCTACATGATATGAAAAGTGATATATATTTTAGAAAAGATAAACTTTTTTAAAAAATATCTTAGTTGCAAGTAGATATTAATCATTGACATCGGAGATATTTTACGCGAGTTTTAACATGAATTTGATCTGAAACAGATCTACAGCTATATATATATATATATATATATATATATATATATATATATATATATATATAAGTGTGTGTGTTCGTGTGTGCGTGTGATGATGATAGATAGATAGATGATAGATAGATAGATAGATAGATAGATAGATAGATAGATAGATAGGGATGGAGAAGAAATCTTCTTTGCACAATCCATTCGTCAACATCACTAATGTAGAAGGTGGTCAGCCTGGGAACTGTTCAGCATTCCTTGATAGATAGATAGATAGATAGATAGATAGATAGATAGATAGATAGATAGATAGGAAGAGCTCATGGTAGATAGATAGATAGATAGATAGATAGATAGATAGATAGATAGATAGATAGGAAGAGTTTATGGTAGATAGATAGATAGATAGATAGATAGATAGATAGATAGATAGATAGATAGATAATGAACTTGACTGAGATAAGTGTGTAGCGGAATGAATCTGTGTAAATAGACTGCAATGCAAACGGACTGAAATAAACGGATAAATACATTGATCGATCGAATATTCGTCACAATATTTAATATGGGAAAATAGGTCATTGGTAAACCTCTAGCGAGTAGTGATTACATGACCAAGTCACATGGGCATCTCTTGTTTTTATTCTCACGACGATTACTACTACAGCAACAACAACAGCTAGTTTCATCCCTTTCGTCATCCTCACTTGTAGAAAGAGCATAACAGCCGCTCATTACCGACTTGAACTTACGACTATGCTTACTTACCAGGAGAAGCTTCTCACTCACCACCACCACTACTACTAATAATAATAATGATAATAATAATAACATCAACAATAATGCTACTTCTATTATCTTCTGCTGTGTGCCACGTCCTTTAAGGGCATGGGCGATCATAGCTCTCCACACTTTCCTATCCCTTGTGGCGTTCTTATCCATTTAAGGAAATGTAAAAACAGTTTATGTTATAAAAATGAATGACTTTACAAACATTTACAAAATAATGATTTCCAAGAATTTCCAGAGTCAGGAAAAAATCGAAAGAAATAAAAATAGATAGAAAAATCAATAAATCAATAAATAAAGTCAAAATGGCTATCGATTGTTCTTCTTCGGAAAGGATATCATTGTGCATTTGGGCAGCCATCAACTTTTCTATGCAGGTTTCATTGAAGTTGACTGGACAAGAGACTGATTATGCTTTTATTATATTTGTCTTGTATGTGTGCAAGACATCATTTTTGTGATATCTTTGGGCCAAAGATTAAAACGAATAAAAACATCCTTGATAATGGTTAACAGATTAACCCGAAGCCGTACCAATCCAAAGACCTGTTGGAGAGTTCTTTCATATTCTATGTCTCAAAAAGAAATCTCTTATTCGCATGCAAGAAAAATATAATAAAAGAAACCATAGGCCAAGATTTTGGGACGATTCTCTGGATTTCGAAGAAGCTCTTAAAAAACTGTCAGTCGTTTTCAATGAAACCTCACACTTCTTCTACCTCCCTCTCTGTCTGTCTGTCTTCCCTCTCGTTCTCTCTCTCTCTCTCTCTCTCTCTCTCTCTATATATATATATATATATATATATATATATATATATTTGCTATAGGCCAAAATTTGGGGTCACTCTATAGGTGTCGAAGAAGCTCCTAAACAAACTGAATTTTGCGCGCCTTTTTCAAAACTAATTCACAAGCTCACTTCGGGCCGGAGAGCCTTATCACATATTCAACAATAATAATAACAATAAAAAGATTAACTCATTGCAGCATAAAGTCCCCTTAAAACTTTGCTCATTTTGCCTAATTTATCCTGCTGGCCAAATACTAATCTTCAGGCTGGTGGATTTTAGGGGACCCCTCCTCTCTCTCTAAAAAATAAAAAAATAAAAAATGGACGCCATGCACTAGTGGTTTAAATACTTTGCAGAATCATTGCATTAGAAGGGGTTAATTAAACCAATGAATGTATGAAACTTACTAATTATTAAATCCAGAGGGAAACCCGAAACGTTTGACGTGATATATATATATATATATATATATATATATATATATATATATATATATATATATATATATTATGTGTGTATTATTATTTATATTATAAGTTATAATATAAACATGTTGAAAATCATACACAAAAGCTTTCATGTTTCAATACTATGATTGTGCTTCTTCAGGCAATGGTAAGTAAGTGGTGACCATCGGCTGAAGAAGTACAATCAAAGTATTGAAACATTAAAGCTTTTGTGTAGTGATTTCAAAATGTTTTTCTTATAATCTTTTATAATAATAATAATAATAATAATAATAATAATGATAATATATTGCTCTACTTTGTATTGTGCACTTTTTAATAGTAAATGCTACAAACAGTGGAATTTTACTCCATCTGTTTTTTCTCTCATTTGATATATATATATATATATATATATATATATATATATATATATATATATATATTCGATAATTTCTTATGAAAGCTTAGATAGGGTTAAAAAATATGTATCAATATTGTGATTTTCTTCTTTTAATGATAATATTATTAAGCTTATCAGACGACATGAAAAGAATTTACATAAAATAAATAGACAAAACTTGTCTATATTATTTCATGAAACATGCATAAATATATATATATATATATATATATATATTAATGCATGTATATATATATATATATATATATATAATGATCTTTAAAAGAGGGGTCATATTTTAATCATAAAAATGGATACAAAAGTATCGCAATCATTAAAATTTTAGGGACCTTTCGACCGACACATCTTCAGAAAAAATAATATCGTCGACAAATAAGACGAAATGGTTGAAAAGAAAAAATATTTTCAACAACTGATGTTAAAATATACGAAAACAAGTGGATGAAACAAGAAAAAACAATTATTTCATTGTTTGGCGTACAACTGGCGATTGATTTCCGAAAATGGCTAACGTGTTTTAATTCTCTCTGCCTACACAGGGCAGGAAGTTGTCTGTTGATAATAACAGACTCCAAGATGTCAAGGTGGAGTCTGTGCAAGACAGAGAAGAACCCAGGAGAATAGTTTGTCCTGCAAGGAACAGTATTCAATAAATGCTCGCCGATTGCGCAGTCGTGGTCCTGTGAATACCCGGATGTTACAGGCTCATGTCTACGTACCTGTCTGGGGACATGCTGGGCGATCGAAACCTCTAACTGGTGGATAGTTTTGCCCACATAGTTGGTCTTACACCGACATTTATATTGGTAAACAACTAGACTCTGTGTGTAGGCAGGCTGCACATCTTTGCGGCCAGAGGAAAAAGCTCTTCTAGCAGAAGAAAATATTATGAATAAAATTTGATAACTCTTTAAAAGATCATTCTATCCTGGTGTGGCAGTAATAATATGTATGTATATATATATATATATATATATATATATATATATATATATAATTAATTAATTCATCGGTATAGAAGAAACTTCAACAGAATGCAGTGCGTATTTACTACCGGGAATGAAACCCGGACAGTTACGTTATCAAGCGAATCAAGTCTGATTCGCTAGCCCTTTGTCACCGAGGCCCGTTGGAACGGTTGGTATGACGTTTGCCTGATAATGTAACTATCCGGGTTTCAATTCTCGGTAGTGTGATGCGCCCTGCTGATGAGTCCCAAATATAGGAGGAAAAGGCCGTCCAGTGCTTTCTGTTGAGGTTTCTTCTAGACTCGATGAATTACTTAATTATAATTATCTCGAATCCTACCAATTTCCATCATATATATATATATATATATAGATAGATAGATAGATTATTATAAACCTTATTTTTAGTGGCTACATATGTAATGTGTATAAGCGGGTATCCATTTTTATATTTTCTTAAACAATGAAATTAATAACTAGCGGTTGTGTTTCCGTGTTTGATTTTTAAGGCAAACCATAGTTTCTCAGTTTTTGACATTTTTCTGCCATGTCTAAATGAAATTCACCTTTACAAAATTTACATTTATTCTCTAGTCCTGGGTATGACGATAAACTACATCCGGCAGCAAGGCCTCTGATCGGGAGGTTTTGAGGCGCATAGAACCCGTCTTAATTGCTGTTGTTCCAAGGTCCATCCTGACCAGCGGTGGTAGCCCCTGTTAGGGCCCCAGAGATAGGCAACCCCCCAAAACATTATTAAAGTATGAAAATACATTTTTATAGTAAAAATACCAGCCAGAGATTTTTATATAAATAATTACCAACAATACATATTTATAGTAGAATTTCCAACAATATATTTTATCTGTAGTTGAAGGCATAAATTTATTACAAATATTTAGATTTCGGCATTAAATGGCCCATAGATGTGTTGATATGCGGCTAAAAAAAATCAAGTAAACATTTATTCTCTGAAAGTTTTGACCAAGCTGAAGCAGTTCCCCAAAAATATAAATGATGGTGAGAGGGTATGTTTTCGGTTTTAAGTTTAAGGCGACCTTAAAGAAAAGGTTTAAAAGAAAGCGATCTAAAAGAAAAAGGGTTAAAAAAAGGCGACCTTAAAAAAAAGGGTTAAAAAAAGGCGACCTTAAAGAAAAAAGTTAAAAAAAGGCGACCTTAAAGAAAAGGGTTAAAAAAAAAAGGCGGCCTTAAAGAAAAGGGTTAAAAAAATCAAACTCCCAGACGTTAAGTACATTTTTATGAACTGCTATCATGACATTTACATCTGGAAAGTTATAAACCGTATCTCATGATTTTAAAAATCTTTATTTCCCATTTTTGAGAGAGTCCAAAAACGTCTTCGTGTCCTTGTGGGTGATGAATTATTTTCTAGCCTGCAACCACTTTTCCACTGACGAAACTTTACAAGTCTCTCGGTGATCTATCGCTATTGTATTCTATGGAAAGTGCTCAGACGAACTCCATTCTTTAGTTCCATCAGTTTTAACCTTCACGGTTAAGACCTGCGATACCCCCGCCCATTCTAGCAAAGCACCCTCATTCCCTTCCTATTCCCCTGGAGAGAGGTTATTTGGTTTAAAATTTAAATTCAGTGTCAGCTGTTATCTTCTGTCTTCTGTTTTCTTATTCTTTTATTGTCCTCACTCCTTAATAGTAGTTTTTTTCTCATATTCTCTCACATTCATTAACCTCTTGCGTCCTAGTGGCTTTATTGCCTTGCTTGCAGCGAAATGATTAAAAAAAATTCCGCACGGGCAGCTTCTTCTCACGAACCGCTGCTTTGTGGAACCAACTCCCAAAAGGATGCTTCTTCGATCACTAAAATCTTAACCTGTTCAAGTATAGGGTTAACTGTTATCATTTTCTACATATACTCTGTAACCCTCTAACTCGAGTGGCTCTTGGGCCTTGTACAAGAGTGAACATCATTGAAAAAAACACACAAATAGAATGAACCCATCAAGGAAGAAAGTGCAAAATGTTTCCATCATAACTGACATTTTACAAGCATAGTTTAGTCTGGCATAAGACTTCATGCGTGGAGCCCACATTGAGGGTCAAAATCCTTATACATGATTTGCTTCTTTATCTCGCTAACCATGAGCACACGTCGAGATGTTGTAATTTGAACGAAACAGCTTTACAAGATGAGCCATGACCCATTTTTACTGTAGGTGCGTAGCCCTGTTTTTGCGCATGCGCTTGTTTTCATGGCTAGGCATTATAGGCACGTCTGTGAAGGCGCCTTGCGTGTCTGTGGGCGAGAATTCTCTACATTCAGTCATTGTATGTGATTTGATCAAATGTAATTCAAACAAGGATCACTTTTCTTTTTCTTAAACGAAAACAAACAAACAAGGAACGTAAAAGCTACAACTTTTCTTTCATAAGAACAATGCGTTCCTACGAAATCACAGAGAGAGAGAATTGTCTGTCTGCTTCTCCAATTCGTTGAGGGAAAGTAGTTTTCTGTACACTTATCAGCTCAAAAGAAAAATGCTATAAACGATAGATGATCGATAAGTGATTCTTTTTTTCATTTCGATCGATGTCATTAGTCGATGACAAACTATAACTACACGTAAAATTTACGTATAGAATAAGAATTCTGTCAAGAATAGATAATCTATTAGGTGGATTTTACAACATGTATATATTTTTAATCATTTCATCCCAAGCAAGGCGATAATGTCACTAAGACGCAAGGTATAAACAATTGATTCGTTTTTGACAGCTTATCAACCCTTTGCAGGTTATTTAAAGCTAACAAATATTTTTAGATTGTAAGAATTTTTTTGACATAATAATGGTTTTAAAAACTATTCTTAGCCGACGCATTTCGTCCTCTGAGGAATTTTATCAAGGCAAATGTAGAAATTTTTTGGTGCACGTATTTATATACAAGAGCAAGGATGTCATTAGGTTATCAAGGCTTTTAAATTTGAGAACGTTTATGAATATTCATCTGGTCAATCAAAACATATGGAGGACACAAAGTGACATAATTCAAAGTCTGGTAATGCAAAAATAAGAGAGTAATATTCAAGAAATATTTTTTTACTCTTGTATATAAACACGTTCAACAAAATAAATCCTACATTTGTCTTGATAAAGTTTCTCAGAGGACGAAACGCGTCGGCTAAGAATAGTTTTTCCTCTTATATATTATTTATTTTGTTCCTTTACAGATACACTCTATCTGAAAATAATTCACATACACACACACATACACACACACACATATTATTACTATAAACGCTATGTTTAGTGAGTACATGTTTATAAACTGCTATCTTTGATTTCAAATTCTTAAGCAGTAAAATTAATAAGAAGCGGCTGTGTTCCATGTTTGATTTTTTTTAAGACAGGGTGATGCGATGGATAAGGCAAAGTATCCCCACTATATCGCTGGAGACACTTTTTTCAGTTTGGCCGTGTGTGGAATAGCGTTGTCATACTGAAGATTAACACTGTTGCGCAAAAGTTCTGGTCTTTTCCGATTAATATTTTCTCAAAATCTACCCAATGTTTCACAATATATGACTGCATTAATTCTCTGGCCATTCGGTATGAAGTTCAAAAGGCAGAATACCGTTTGCATCCCAGAACACAGATGCCATAATTTGAGGTGACTGTTGAAAGTGGATGCTTCCAAATGATGGAATCAAAGTTAAACTAGTGAGGTTCCATCATCACCGAGTGGACCCTGAATATTCATCTATCGCGATGAACGGGTTTTCTCTTAGGGAGGGCCCGTGCCTTGGGCGACTATATGGACTTAAACTCAGCCCAGACCTTACATATAATCCATCACTAAAGATGCTGGTAAAATGACTCTTCCTGCTATCCTCTACCCATACAAGATCTAGATCAGGCCTAAAATGGGGGTACTGCTGCTATATATGGGTAGGAGCTTCCCAGTCTTCACTTTCCAGTCTCGAAATCGTTCAAAAGCGTCTCTGACAACGCCTTTCTTACGGTCGAAACGTCACAAGTCTTTCACTGCTCTATAGCTATACTACATACTTTAGTTGCAACAGTTCTAACTTTCACGGCAAGGAAGGTTGCACATGATAGAGAACCACCCTCGTTCCATTCGTATTCCATTGGTGAGATGTAAGTTCCACTCAAGCAGTCTCTAGTCACGAACCGCTACTTTGTGGAACCGACTCCCAAGAGGATGCTTACCCGAAGACTACAATCTTAGCCTGTTCAAGTCTCAGGTCAACCGTTACCTTCCTAACATATCCCCATATAATGTACCTCTTACACAGTAACCCTCTACCTTGAGTGGCTCCTAGGCCTTGTACCGGGTAAATATTATTGTAAAAAAATCAAATATGACTCCTTGTAGTGGTGCTGATGAATACTGATAATGACATGGACAGAGCATGTAAGAAACGAGGAAGTATTAAGGAGAATAAGACGAACAAAAAAAGGTTTTGGGAGGCATAAGGAGAAAAGAATGCTTAGAGAATTTAACACTCACAATGAACACTGAAAGGAAGAGAAACACATATAAGTAAATACTTTGTGGAACAAGTGCCGCAAAAAGAGGAAGCGATAGAGATCCGTGATCGCCCACGTTTTGGCATACGCACACACACACACACACGCCCGCACACACGGATGCAGACACACACAGACACACACACACATATATATATATATATATATATATATAGAGAGAGAGAGAGAGAGAGAGTGAGAGAGAGAGAGTGGAGAGAGAGAGCGGAAAAGACATTGAGTGTGCGCAAGATATAGATAGATAGATAGTGTGAGATAGATGAATTGATAGCAAAAATGTAAAGTTGAGAGAGTGAAAGAGAGAGAAAGAGAGAGAGAGAGAGAGAATGAGAGAGAGGTGGGGAATTAATGGCTAAATATGAAAGACGAGACAGAAAGACAGAGAGATAAATACGGCGTATTTCGCAGCTGAAATAGTTACGTATTTTCTGCAAGTGTCGAGGTTCGGGGTTTGAGACGATTTAAAACCCTCCATTTGAACGCTGAACCTTGGGGGCAAGTCAGTTCACGCCTGCTTTGAAGATTGGCATAATGTATTCTCCCGATGCATTATTTTGTCTTGTGTCATACTTGATTAAAATCAATAAATATGTAAAATCTATCACGGCGCACGCATTTGCTTTTACAAATGCTTATATTTAATACGTTTAAGTAAAAATCAAAAACATAGATCGATAGATATGAGAAGACTGAGATAGATAGATAGATAGATAGATAGATAGATAGATAATGAACAGAGTGAGATAGATATGAGCAGACTGAGATAAATAATGAACAGACTGAGATAGATAGATAGATAGATAGATAGATAGAAATGAGCAAACTGAGATAGATAGATAGATAGATAGATAGATAGATAGATAGATAGATAATGAACAGACTGAGATAGATAGATATGAGCAGACTGAGATAGATAATGAACAAACTGAGATAGATAGATAGATAATGAACAGTGTGTGTGTGTATGTGTGTGTGTTTGTTTGTTTGTGTGTGTGGTTAAGGAAAGGGCTATTTGTAAAATCTTTAGTTTAAAATCTCTAGTTCTCTCTCCCCGCCCCCAGCCGGGAAGTGGAGAGAAGAACGGGGTCTGCATCGATCTCTTATGTGCTGCTTTCCCGCCATTCCAAGGAGCTTCGATACCCGCCGCTGCACAAAGCTGGGGAGTTTGTTGATTCACATTCCATTCGTTTGTGACAAGTGTAAAAATCAGAAAAACAAGCGAAAGAAACGGGTCAGCCTCACGCGAGGCAGACTGCAGCGTGCACGTGCACGTATGACTTCCTATCATTTTGTCTTCGCGCGCACGCGCACACAGAGGGACAGAGGGCTTGTGCATGTGAAACTTGCATTTGACTAGCTAATAATATAGTTTTTTTGTTTTTTTTATTAAGCGTATTTAAGTTTGGAATAAGACAATAATATTCGAGAAATCATGTGAATCGTATAAGCCAATTCGCGAAATGTACTTAAATCGCCCCATGTTAAGTAATTAATATATATATATATATATATATAAATTTATATATAATAAATATATAAATATATATTTTACTACGTTAATAAAACATCAAAAAACGAAAAGAATAAATAATACAAAATGAAAATGAAAAACAAGTGAAATAAATTAACCCAAATAAATAAATAAACAAGCCACTCCCGCAAAATAACCGCCAGAATAGATTACCCATAATGCACCACTGGCCCACAATAGCTGAGGAAAAATCCAGCATTCGCGGCCTGACGATTGCGTTCAGCATGAAACAGCCTGTCGCCTGTGCTGACTTCAATATTCACTTTTATATTTATATTTACATACGCTCTATCTCTGATATTGAGCACTTTATCCCATAAATATAGCACACCTTAGAACTATATATATATATATATATATATATATATATATATATATATATATATATATATATATATTACATGAATCATTCATACAACAAACAGATATAGAAGTTAATGATTTAAATGGCGAGAATACATCTTCGCAAACAATTTTAATAAAGTACATTAACCCCGAACCTGTATATGAATGTTATGATTAACAATAACACATTGCTAAAAACATTTTTTTCGGATTACATTTATATTTTCGTTGTCCTATTATTACTGAGAAGTAAAAAACAAAAACAAATCTATTTCCATACCTGAAGATGTCTGTAGGAACAGACGAAAGCTTGTAAAAAACTAAAAAAGACCTTATGCAACTGGAATTTATAAACAGGGATCATGGCATGGCCCGTGAAACTAGAAAAATCTACACCAGTGAACGAAATAAAGAGGTTAGTTCGAAATTCCAATCACCTGAAGAAGACTGGAGTGTACAACGACCGAAACGCCGTGAACCTAAGAACAAAGATGAGGACAACAATATATATATATGATAAAAATATATTTCTTAGGTATACTATATTTATGGATGAATGTACTCAATATCAAGGGTATAGCCTGTATAAATATAAGCGTGGACACTGAGGTCAACACCGTGTGCCGACAGACTGTTTCATGCTTCAGTAGAAACTTCAGACCATGGAGATTACATTCAAAATGAAACAAGCTGTCGCAACTAGGTTTTGACTGCAGTATCCACTTTTATATTTTTATATATGATAATAACGTGTTCAACAATCATCTTGAGAGCAACAATTATTGCATAAAAATATTGAAAGTTCACACTACCAATCGAAGATCTCCTCGGAGTTTCTCTGTGCTTCACTCTTCAGAACCTAGATGAGATTCTTATCTGGGTTCTGAAGAACTGCTTAGAATTAAAAATGCTTATACCAGTTAAGACCCGTCGGAAGCAACATGGAAATTTGCAGAAGCTCGTTAATACGTCTGGTTCTGCGATTGCCGGCATCAATAATCCGACTTATGTCTCGTTTTTGCCAGAGATGTTTTTACAGTAATCATTAGTGCATATTCGGATTAATGTTTGAAAATTCCAGAGACCATTTATACTAAGTTCAAGCAGCTTTCTTTCAGAAAACAAAATGGAGAACGGCTCGGAATTGTTAATCGGAGAGCCGAGTTCCAATTCCAGTCGGCTTCATTATATTCACTTACTCTCAAATACTCTTGGGAAAAAATATGAATCCACCTCATCTCCCACCTATGGGTTAATTAGTAGTATTTGTATGATTAGAATTATTACTATCTTCAAAAAATACTTACAATCTGAAAATATTTTCTGGGTTTAATAACACGTAAAAGGTTCATAAGCCGTAAAAAACAAATCAGTCAATCATCAATAAGGATGGATGTTATAAGTTGGACCTCAAATGATACATTGGCCATATAAATGTTCGATAAGCATTTCACTAACATTGGTTGAAAACATTAACTTGCATAATTAAACCTGTCATAGCATTAATTTGCATCTCACTCTCTCTCTGTGTCTCTCTCTCTATCTATCTATCTATCTATCTATATATATATATATATATAATTAATACAGTATATAAAGTTTATCACTTAGTTGATTAGTGTTACTTCCAGAGTTTCGTAGACGGGCAGTTCAGCAATCACTCCGTACTTTATATATATATATATATATATATATATATATATATATATATATATATATATATATATATATATATATATATATAGGAGGCACGTTGAGAATGGATAGCGGCTTGGATTGAGAAATCGAGAGATCAATTCCAGTCGAATCCAATACATTCACTTACGTGCTAATACCCTTGGGAAAGGTGTTAATCCTCTTCTCCCTCCAGCTATGGGTAAATAGCAGGACAGACTGGGTTCTATAGCCTTGGATGGCAACTGGTCTAGGAGAAGGACAACTCTGAATTCAAAACCTGTGGAGGGTCGTTTGGGAACCTTGTGGCATTCGGTGCACCAGGTCTCTGTATTCGTTCCTTCAAAAAGTGTGGATGGTCCTGCACGAGGCCTTCACCACTATAATCAAATATCATGTGCTGGTGTTGGGCTGTCGGTTTCCTGGAAACTGATCTGCTTGACCCTCATACGTCAAATTCGACAGGAGAGTCGACTACATATACATACATATATATATATATATATATATATATATATATATATATATATATACCGAGATATGGTAAAGTGTAGTGTGGTTCTATTTCATAGGCAAAAATAGATCGTATATTTTAACCTTCCTGTTTAATCTATCAACAAGTTCAGGTAGTGGTGTGTCACGCAGGTAGATCAATAATGTATCGGAAATATGTTGCGTTTCTTGGGAGAAAACATTGAAAGGGATGGCCAGATTTCAAAAATACATATATACATATACATATATATACATACATATATATATCTACATATATATATATACATACATATATATATATATAGATATCTACATATATACATATATATATATATACTTTTAAGGTGTGCTATATTTATGGGATAAAGTGCTCAATATCAGATGTAGAGCGTGTGTAAATATAAAAGTAAACATTGAAGTCAACACTTAGAAGCGACAGGCTGTTTCATGCTAGATGCAATCGTCAGGTATATATATATATATATGTGTGTGTGTGTGTGTGTGTGTGTGTGTGTGTGTGTGTGTGTAAAAATATATAGAAAATAAGAAAGAACTCGTTAGGTAAATAATTCAAAGTTCATTAGTTTTTTTGTTATCATTTTTAAAAAACAGTACTCGACTCTCCCCTCGAATTCGACGTATGAGCGTCAAGCAGATCAGTTCCTAGGAAACTGACAGCTTGACACCAGCACATAAGATTTGATTATAATGGTGAAGGTTTTGTGCAGAACCATCCACACTTTTTGAAGGGTCGAATACAGAGATTTGGTGCACTACGTGCCACAGGGTCCTCAAACGACCCTCCGCAGGTTTTGAATTCAGAATTGTCCTTCTCCCAGACCAGTTACCATCCAAGGCTGTAGAACCCAGTCTGTCCTACTATTTACCCATAGCTAGAGGGAAGAAGAATATATATATATATATATATATATATATATATATATATATATATATATATATGTGAAAATATATAGAAAATAGGAAGGAACTGGTTAGGTAAATAATCCAAAGTCCCTTAGTATTTTAGTTATTATTTTTAAAAAAATAGTGCTCGATACAAAAGTAGAGCATAAATATAATTATTTATTTAAAAATATGATTCCAAATCGCTACATAAGAGGTCTCATGTTTCAAAACTAGAGCCGAAAACTTCAATATAATCCTTTAAATTAAATGCTAACCCTTTATACATACACCCGAAGTCAAACCATCCTCCATCAATAATTAAACATATACCCTCATCAATAGAAAATAGAATTAGCATTAACTCCGCAAACAGGGAAATATTCCAACAACACAATAGCTTCTATAACACCGCCCTAAAAAATAGTGATTATAAAAATGCTAACATTAACTACAGAGAAAATTACACTGGACATAGGAAAAAAAACAGGAAAAGAAATATCATTTGGTACACCCCTCCGTTCAACCAAAGGGTAAGTATTAAACTAGGACAGAAATTCTTAGCTCTAATTAATAAAAACTTCCCCACCAATAGTAAGCTTAGTAATATATTCAATAAGAACACCCTAAAATTGAGCTACAGCTGCTCTGATAATCTTGAACGCATAATAAAAAAACACAATAATAAGATCTTGAACAAACCCCCATGCCAAAACAGTATTAATAAAAACTCTTCACTTAAATCAGACGATAAAAGGGAAAAATTATGCAACTGTAGAAACCCAGAAGACTGCCCATTAGAAAATAAATGTTGTATTAATTCTGTGGTATACCAATGTACTATTTCATCCACAGAGAGCCCTAGCACTAATATGATATACATTGGGTCCACGAAGAATAATTTTAAAGATAGATGGAGGCATAAGTGCTCCTTTAATAATATAAACAAACAAAATCAGACTTCACTATCAAAATATTTTTGGCACCTGAAGGAAATAAATAAGACACCAAAAGTTAAATGGAAAATCATTGACAAGGCTAGAATATGTAAAGCTTGGGATGACCCATGCCCTTTGTGCCTCCATGAAAAATTGCACATCATTAAACTTCTAAATAATAATAATCTATTAAATAATAGACACGAGTTAACGGTTTTTTGTAGGCATCATCAGATTTTTGGTTTGAATTATTAGATAAAAAAAAAAAAAAAAAATTTATATAACTTGTTTAACAAATAGCCCAATCATCAGATTCATAGTAGGAATAATTAACTACAAACATGCATACTACATAACACACTTCATAATCCATAGCCTAAATTAGTAGTTTAAATACCTTACATATAAGATAACCCTTTATGAAGTCGTCAAAAAACTAAACGTTACGAAAGTTTTCCTTTTTTTTTTTTTTATATGCACAATTCCCTTTCATAATAAAATAAAATAAAATAAATAAATAAATCTCCATAGACAATCAAACTAGACGATGGCCAATACATCTTCCGTTTCATTTTTGACACCCCCACCTTTCCCCGACTTGACACCTTGAAAGTATCTCTATACCGCTACTCAATATAAACACCCTACACTCGCCTACCCAATTTAGAAAATTCACCATAGCTGTTACCATGGGGATTTTGATTTCAATTTTAAAACAAGTAAATTTCAGATATACGTTATTCCAACAAAAATTTCGCTTGAGGATGGAACGGAGCCCATTTTACTTTCAACTCAATTTAATTTAAAGGATTTTATTGAAGTTTTCGGCTCTAGTTTTGAAACATGAGACCTCTTATGTAGCGATTTGGAATCATATTTTTAAATAAATAATTATATATATATATATATATATATATATATATATATATATATATATATAACAGCAAACCAAACAGCAGCCAGGGCTTAGAACCTAATCGTTACTCCGAATGTTCTTGCTTAGACGGCAAGAACTAGCTCTGGTTGTCTAACGATCACTTAGTGCAAAAGTGGATTTCTGAATCTGAGTTTCTAATTGCTGTTTAGTTTGTTAGTATTACTGTTCTGTTTTAGTCTGATTCCTAACGGCATTGAGCACTTTAGGTTTTATTTGTTTTCCTTCTTTTCATTTGTCTGTTTTCTTTATTTCCGTTTTTCTTTCGGCTATTCATGTTTGTTTCCTTTGGTAGACATATAGTTTTCAAAAATTTCGTTACCTCAAAATATGTGTACAGTTAAAAAAAACAATTTAAATAATAATTAAAAAACGAAGAGCAGATCTTTTTTTTCAAGTAAATGAGGAATTATTTAGCATTGATTTGAAAAAGAAAGAAAACAATTTCTGTTGTAGCAACGGAAACGTCAGTAATTTTGAATGGAGTTCGATCGACATGTTGACGTGACGATGTTGTTATTGGCGGGAAGCGGGAAAATGGAGGAAGTAAGACGGAAACGAGGCTGAGTGGACTGCAACATTTATGATGGAAAAAACGGATGAGGTATGGTAAATAGCTGTACGGATGACAGGTGAATGTGTAAATATGAATAAACTGGGACAAATCGATTGAACATGGTTAGATAGGTAAATATTTATTAAGCTAACATGAACAGACTGAGATAGATAGATAGATAGATAGATAGATAGATAGATAGATAGATAGATAGATAGATAGATAGATAGATATGGATTATATAGCTTGGATAGAAACGAACTGAATTAGAAATGAATACGCAGGCACTAAACAGACACAGACACACACACATATGTATATATACAATGTTCTCAGAACTTGACACATTCCAAAATCTAAACGAAACATTATATTTTTAAGGGCTTCTAAGTTGGACTGAGAACTTCTGAATGAGACCTCTCTCTCTCTCTCTCTCTCTCTCTCACACACACACACACATCTTTATATATATATATATATATATAGCTAGATAGATAAAAATTATAAAAACTGAAGTAAGCCTGAAAGAGGCTAAGTGAAGCATATAAATATGTATATATATATATATATATTAATTTATACATAGATTGATAGATGACGACAATCAGATGTGACTTTTTCATTTCAGAGATTATCATTCTCCAAATTGCTTATACAAATTAAATCACGTACCAAATCGTTTTAGATAATAAAAAAAAAGAAAAACAACCAATGAAACAAAAGAGCTAATATTGTTTAAATTGTTGTAGAATTAATTTTATTATTTTCTTGTTACCGTCTTAATTCTATGGTGATGTTTGATGCAAATTAATATCGAATCCATTTTTTTCTTCAATATTCTTACCATGTTTAGCAGTTTTAAAATGGCCGTCTGTGTATTTTTCTTTGTCTTCTGAGTTGTTCTAATTATTTGACGAGAAAAGTCTTTTTCTAAGTTTATAGCATTTGTAAATAAATAAACAATTCGGCTTCTTGAGATACAATTCTAAAATATTTAATTATAAAGAGAACTGCCAACCGTCGACTTGCAGACTCTGGTAACAAAACCAATTCTATTCTCACCGAGCCCTTTATAATATTTCACTCGCGAGGATGGGGTCAACCCCGGGTTATAGCATAATGGTTAGTATGTTGGTTTCATACTCATTCGCCCACATTCAGTCCTCACTAGGTTCCTGTCTACTATGCGAAACTAATCGAGCCTTAGTAATAGTTAAGTAAGTAAATGACTAAATGTTCCGAGTATCCCCGTCTGCTAGGTTGGTTAGATAATTCCTGTTGCAGACGTCTTCTCAGGCACATTTACGGCACCAACCTGTTGTCTATACTACAAATACACTGAGTGAACCCAATTTACAATTCAGCTTTTTTTTTTATAGTTTCTGGGAGAGAGCACATAATCTGGCGTGATGAATAGTTTTGAAGAAAGTCAGTACGTTCAAACCCTCGGTCACGATGGCTTATGACTTCGTGCTAGCACAGACATTGACGGATTCTGAACAGTTCCGTTTTACCTAGCTTCATTAGCAAGGCTTAGGTCAACCCGTTGCACGCTGGAACCGTCTCCTCAGATCGATATTAACGACCATGCTGAGATTTGAACCCGGGAAACAGGGTCGGAACGCCAACGTGCTAACCATACGGACACGCACAGTAAATATTAAAATATTTAAGACGCATGGAACAGAGTGAGGATTTGCTTGCTAGTCTCACGAAACCGGTAGTGCTTAAGATTCTCTTCTCTAGCAACCACCCTTTCGGATATTTACGCAGGATGGAGACACTGCGTTAAAACTGCACCGGTAATAGATTAGTGTCAATGCTACTTGTTTCATTTTGATGTAATTATTGCAACACCAACCAAGAAAGCCGTAACGATTCTCGGGAAAGAAAAACAAACTCCCGGTCACTGTCCCGGATTGTCAAAGGTGTTAGACGTTAGCTTGCAGGATTCTGCACCATACACACGGGGTAATTGCATCATAGACTGCAGATAATTATTAACAATTAAAATAAAATAGTTCACTTATCATTTTTCAATCTGTACTCAGCGTTTCATGGAAATTCTCTTCGAATTCACGTCTTGAAACACGGAATCCGGATTGAAAACAAAAGATAAATGAATGATATTATTTTAATCATTAACAATTATTATCGCTCTATCTCTTGAGATTGAGCTCTCTATTTGCAAGGACTGCTTGCCGTGAATGCGTTATCTTTCGGGGTTACCTTGGTCGATCGTATTTCGGGCAAAATCAGGTCTTTATTATTGTTATTTTTCAAAATGTTTTTTAGACGCAAATATATAAAAAAAATGTGTTTATAAAATGTAGTTTATCCTAATCAGTGTTGAAATAGTTAAATTAATTACAGCCCTGTTAAAATTATTGCACCCCCCATTGTCGCCTATAAACACCTAGTACCCCCTTGAGAGTTTATAGCACTCTAAAGGGGGCATTTCTGCCCACTTTGAGAATCACTTCGTTAGTTCAACGTTTATATAGTGAGTTCAATGCTCACGGAATATTGTAACCTCGTAAAAGGCTCAGCTAAATTTAAATATCTATATGAAAAGGTGCTTTAACGATAATTCCGAGTGCTCGAACTACTATCAGAATCGCCATCGTCTTTATTTCTTGTAAATTTTAAATTTTATAATGTTAAAATACTTATAGAAAACACGTGTCTATGTGCATTGAACCAACGAATTGTGAATACAGATTTTCTATGTGTCAGTCATGTAGAAGAGACCAACACAAAATACGGCATCTGAAGGATTTTCCAAAAAGTAAATGCTAATATTATTAGTACTCCTACTAATCAAGGTGCTTGCTGTACAGCAATGGCTAACGAGCTAGTCGAGTAGACTATTATTGACGCAACGATTTCTGTCTTTATTGTGTCCACAACTATTGTGACTATTTTCAGTTTATTAAATAATTTCTACTATCACTATCACTACTAAACGACCAATTTACAATATCAGTAAATCAGACACTGTTTTTCTCTCTTTTTTAACATAATAAAAATGTGACAATTATGAAACACAAAAGTGAAGGTGGTGCCAGTAATCATTGGAACACTCGGAATGGTCGCTAAAACGCTTCCAAAGCGACTGGAATAATTAGGTATCTGATCTAAAATTGAGATTTAAGACCACAGTACCACAGCAAGAAGGCACCGGAGATTTGACTAGAATTGGTGTAATTTGATTCCCACCAGATAACCATGGGGCAATAATAATAATAATAATATTTTCACATCACTAATATTAAAGAAATTGTCATGTGATAACAAGTTTCTTCGATATTGCAGAAATTTTCTCAGAATTCTGAATAATAATCATTTGAAAAACTGTAAATTAACAAAAGAATTAAAACTATCCAGTCGTCAGTATTACTAAAATAAGCTCGAGTACTGAGGAGAGTGCTGGAGTATGTGAGAGGCTTGCTGTCACTTAATCTTCATTGAAATCCCCCAGATACTAATTGGCATAAAAAGGTATCATGGAAGTATTTGGGGTTTGTGAAGATATTAAGAGAGATGCTGGTTATTAGAGGAAATTTCCCCTTCAGCAATAAACACTAATCTACCAGTGCGTAATAATAATAATAATAATAATAATAAAACTGGTACCAAACCTTGAGGTGACTTGTTGTCACTTATTTCGCAGTGAAAGCCACTAGATAATATTGGAGTGTAAACGACGGCCACTAATTCTGACATTTGAAAATGGCGAAATAATATCAATTTTAAAGGGAACTGAAAGCCAGGCATTACAAGAAAAATGCCTGAAGAATTGGACTCTCGTTATGACGTAGGAAAATAATAAAAAAGTCAAATGTACCCCCACCACCAAATATGTTTGCAAAAATAAAACTTGCATTAGTGTACATTTTGAAAAATCAGCACTTTTAATGAAAGTAGTGAAAACCCGCGCAACAGTTATTTAAAGAATATTTTCAAACTACCAGGTCCCCCCCACCACCAATTGCATCCTTGGCGGGAGATTAGCAAGCGTAAGAGGACAAACGACCCCGAGGGAAAATCCCTTCGGGTATGATACACACCGAGTAAAAACAGCTAATTTAAAAAAAAAAGAGGGAACGTTTTGGCTTTTAGTGCAGTTTTATTTTAATGGTTGAAAAAAAATCAAATGAAAATGTAGATTTTTAAAACAAAAAGGAAAAATGGCCTTTATCTGAGCGTTTATGTTTGTATACTTAAAATTCCATTCATATTTCGTGATTGTGTAAAGGGAAAAAGAGAAAACTGAAACGGAAAAGAGAGTGTGGAGAAAGACGCAACAATGCACACGTGTGTAGAAAGAGGTTGAAATATCTTTATCTGTGCAATGGCATCTTTGCAGGCTGTTGTAAATTGATTTTTCCTGAATATTATCGGTCGTGTTGTTTGTGGTGGTGGTGGGGGTGGCGGACACATGTAGAGCAAATGCAAAGAAAAATAAATTTTCAACGAGTGAAGAAAATTATTTGCAGAATAGGTCAGTCACGTGAAAGAAAGAAAACGTGGAAGGGAGAATCTTAAGTAAAACATTTATTTTAAATTAGAGGAGAGTATGGCTTTGAAGTATCAATCAACAGTGTGAAAGAAAGAAAGAAAGAAAGAAAGAAAGAAAGAAAGAAAGAAAGAAAGTACAGAAAAAGAAAGAAAAGAAAGGAATAAATAAACAGATAAATAAATAAATAAATAAAGAAAGAAAGAAAGAAAGAAAGAAAGAAAGGAGAAAAGAAAGAACGAAAACCGGAAAAAAAAATAAGGAAAAAGAAAGAAAAAGAATGAAAGGAAATAGAAAGGGAGAAAAAGCAGACGAAGGAACAAAAGAAAGGAAGAAAGAAAAGGAAAAGAAAGAACAAAGAAAGGAAAAAGAAAGAAAAAGAAAAAGGAAAAAGAAAGAAAGGAAAAAGAAAGAAAGGAACAAAAAAATAAATGAAGGAACAAAAGAAAGGAAAAAAGAAAAGAAAGACCAAAAACGGAAAAAGAAAGAAAAGAAAAAGAAAATAAAATAAAAATAAAGTAAAAGAAAGGAAGAAACAAACAAATAAAAGAAAGAAAAATCAAACAAAAGAAAGAAACTAAACAATAAAGACAGAATGAAACAAAGGAACAAAAGAAAGAAAGAAAGAAAGAAAGAAAGAAAGAAAGAAAGAAAGAAAGAAAGAAAGAAAGAAGTATGTATACGACTGTGCTGACGATTGGTCATATTGTTAGATTTAGGGAAATGGGTCGGACCAAAAACTTTTCAGCACCTCCTTATATGCATTCATTTGCAAAATGTCAGCCAGTTTCGTATATTTTTAAAACAGCGTAACAATAAAATAAATAAAAAATAAACAAAATAAAGACAAGACTAAATGACCAACCATTTTTTTTTTTTCGTTTTTGTTTTTTCCGTGGCATCGTTTCGAACCGTGGCACACTTTTCAGCAACTCTCTTTTCGTATATTTGCATAACTGTATCGTACATTTGTATGCAATGGTTATAGAACATAATGACAAATTACGAAAAAACTGCTTTTGTATGTGTGTGTGTGTGTGTGTTTGTGTGCTTGTGTGTGCTTGTGTGTGTGTGTTTGTGTGCTTGTGTGTGTGTGTTTGTCATAGAAAGAGACTTTTCAATTACTTTTTAACCCCTTCTCCACCTGTTTTCAATAGGGTTCTTCACTTGTTTAACTCTAATCAAATTGATAATTTTTTTTATCATGTTTTCCGTTCTATAATTTATAGATTTTCCTGGAATTCACTTCATCGGAAAATGATATTCTTTTTAACCCATATTATCTTTATTTACATAATATTTTCCGGCATGCATAAAGTAAGTATATCATTAAATCTGTTAAAAAAAAAAAAGGCATATTTTAAACTGCAAATTTTTATTTTTCAACATAGTCTTTTTCGTTTCTCGTCGTGCATATTAATAATAAATAATTGAAAATAAAGTCTAAAAAATGTAACTAATAACTATGAGCCTGGTTGTGAGTTTATTGATATATATATATATATATATATATATATATATATATATATATATATATGGTCAAGTGGCAAAATGGGCATATCTTTCAAAGGTCAAGTGTGCGTCTAGATTAAAAAGAAATGTTATTGGTAGTGTGTTGCTTTCTTTTTTATGTAAACGCTTTCCAAGATTTTTAATCGTTTTTCTACTATTTTTTTTGCAGATAGATTAGTAGATAACTGGAATATTGCTAATTCATTTATAACTTTGGATCGTTAATAATATAATTGCTTTTGACCTCCCCTCCTGAAGATGACCAAATACAGTCAAAAGTATTTGGAACATTGCACATACAGGTTTCCATCTGACTTATCGACACAAGGATACACTAACCGAAAGGCAAGGCTTAGTGGGCATTGTCGGTCCGTACTGCTTAATGGAACATGTTTAAATGGGGGATTGCTGTCTAAGTACAATATATATATATATATATATATATATATATATATATATATATATATATATATATATTCGCCTTGCTTTAATTATAATATATTTTCTACTAATATAGTGAGTTCGTTATCTTACTAGGTGCACAAAATTGGGCGCTTTGGTCCCAAAATTGGGCTTAGTAAATAGCTGAGTGAAACTGCGGGGTAATGGTTAACGAGTCAGTTCCGTTGGCCATTACCAACGCACTGAGTTTTATCTTCACTTCTTGTCTTATACCTGTGGCATTGTGTCAGACTAAGCTGCGCTGAAGAAATATTTATGACTGTCCACCGTAACGCAATACCACATACACACACAAGCACACACACAGGCACACAGACAAACACACAAAGGCGTCTGCCGTAGAGTGATCGTTAACAGTGACTCGTCTAATGCGTTCGAACCTCAATAAACGTACTCAGATGAAATCCCTTACCAGACTATGTTCAAACTAGTATATTTCTTAATAGGTTGTGTTAGTAAGCGATTCTTATTGCTATATACTAATTATTGGCTTAATTCGAAATAACCCAACTGCGGTCCACCCAATGAGGGTCAAATTCATTATTCAGTAATAATGGCACCAAACTGACTCGTTAACCATTACCCTGCGCCAAGGTAAGCTACTCTCCTTAAAATGTATTCAGTTCGATTATCACAGTGTGACGCACCATTGTGACTCTTTTTCAGAATATGATAAGCTAAGTTAATATCTATATGTGTTTGTCTCTGGAGTCGTATGCACTCTTTGACTTATCCGTCATAATCGTAGAGGTAAAATTTTGAATAAAAGTAACAAGTTGTTGCCTGCATACCACGTGTTTGTGTTGAGTAAAACTGGCCGATCTTTAAGTAATTTAGCTTGACTTCTGTAGACTGTAAATTCAACTAAATTGGCCACTTTGATTTCTACTTTATTATTCTCAGTATATGTGATAAAGCCACTGTTTTATTTGTTGAAATTTTGATCTAAAATCTTCTAATTTTATTCAAAGTTAGTATATTATAATAAATTTTTAAACTTGTTTTGTCTAATTAATTTGCTTTTTTCTGCCGCCTTAGCAAACACGAATCGATCTGTCCCTAATGAGTCAAACTACACAACAAGAAAGTATTGGGAAAAAGAAAAATGACATATATAATTTATATCACAATTTAAAAAATAAAAATCAATGTTTTAGCTAATTCCAGACCCCTGAGCTTAAGTCGTCTATACTAGAAATGCTGGAGAATTTCAATCCAGGTATAAGTGGCTGTTTGTTTTTCTCTCATTAAATATGATTTTAGTCATTTTATATAAAATTTACCCCCATATATACATATATATATATATATATATATATATATATATATATATATATATATATATATATATATATATAGTTTTAAGGTATGCTATATTTATGGGTCAAAGTGCTTAATATCATGGACAGAGCGTATGAAAATATAAAAGTGGACATTGAGGTCAACACCTGTTTCATGCCTATTGTAATTTAATGCGTTTAAGAATGAAACACACTGTCACTTCTAGGTGTTGAATTCAATGTCTACTTTATATATATATATATATATATATATATATATATATATATATAACTTGAATAAAGTTTCTTATACCCTGAATGAAAATACTTAGGCGTTTAATAAAAAGTTCTATTTTGAGTACAAGTGCATATGTTTTGAATACGTATCGACTTTTTTTTTAACTAATGGTTTTTATTTGTTGAATAAAGATACTGATGTTTTGAGTAAGAGTAAAACTTTGAATATTAAAAGAAAGAATTTACTTACGCAGGCCAGAATGTTGACGACGACGATGATACCAATGCCCAGCGGGATTGAACCTGAAACGTCTTTCCTACCATGGTCAATCATGGAGAAGGCGGCGAAAAGCAAGAAAAAGGTGACAATGAATTCCATAATGACGGCCTGCAGGTCACTCATGTCCGTGTCTGGTTTGATAGTGTGCAATTTAGCATGCATGGTGGTAGGGCAGAGGACTTTAAGCATATAAGCACCTGCAATGGCGCCAAGGAGTTGGGCAGCAATGTAACTGAGGAAGCGAATTAAGCTGATATGCCTGGTCACCAGAAAACCGATGCTGATAGCTGGGTTCACATGTCCACCGCTAACGTGTAGAAATGTCATGATGATGGTAGCAATAAAGAAGCCTGCCAGTAGAGCAACATGTAGATGTGAGGGCCCACCTTCTTTGTTTGGATTATGCATTAGCGACCCGATAATAAGGAAGACCAGAAAGAAAGTTCCAATGACTTCGGCCAGGAAAGCCTTCCAGAAAACTGTAGAGCGCACATCATCCAATTGGGCCTTCATGCTCTCCCGTAAATACCCACTTAAACCTTTGAAGGAGCAGCAGTTGGATTTAGACAAAAACGACCGTGAGGAATTCGATGTTGCGGTAACGTGCGGAGCACTCTGGCTCATTCTAAGACGAAACTCCGCGATCTGTCGGTTCGGAGTGTAAAACAGGCCGCGCGCAAGCCCCGTGTGTTGTTAAAGGCACAGACACACGCACGCACACGTTCAACGGTTAGCAGTAAACTTGCAAATTTCCTCCTCCTCCTCCTCTCGCTGTTTCTTTCTTTATTTCCTTCTCCAATTTTCCCTTCAATGTCTGTCTCGATATCTATTTTCTTTTCTTTTTTATTAATGGATATTTACTTTCTTTTTTTTTTATCTTTCTCTCCCGTACTACTTTGTAATAGGGACGCTGCTTGTAATTTATCCCTCCACTATGACGCACTTTAAAATTTGCTTTTCTGAAAACGCTATTGGTTGGCTGGGTCGTGCGACGTGGTAAGAGCGGGGAGTGTTGGGAAGACGGAAAAGAACGTGTACAACTCTGTGCGTATGCCTGTATGTGTGTGTGTGTGTGTGTGTTCGCGCACGTCTGCGTTTTCGTCTATGTTATGTGTTGAAATGAATCGCGGAGAAGGCTTCACTATTTAGCCTAGCAATAACACTGTGAGCAAGCAAGCAGCTGCTGCGCAGTAGTCGTAAATGTGTATAATGCCGAAAATCCGCACACGTGCTTAAAGCGGGAGTGGAAAGACCAACATACAACAGTACGTGTTAACGTGGGTGTGCAATACAAAAAAAAAGTGCGTGTCAATAGCTTTATATTCAATTTTCTACGTGTGCTTACGTTTCATTCATGAACATAGGTATCTCTGTATAATACTGACTTGTAAGCACTCGAACCTCTGAATTTAAAAGCAATGTTTGGACGGTTTAAAACCAAAAATACTTTTCGCTTGAAATGTATCGATATTTACGGAAAACTTTTGATTCTCAAACTAAAAAAAATGAAGCCGTGTTTAGAGGTGGATGATCTTCAAATATAAACTTAATCTCCAAACAGATAAGTAACTAAATCCTTCTCAATGAGTGAAAGATAAAATAAATGTGTATTTCTTTATAGTACACTTTACCGTGACGTCGACAACAAACGTGTATATTGGAAACTAAAAATGTTTTTTTCTTTTCTTTAAAGGAAGTGCATAAAAAAAATTAAAACTTTGGCAAGCAATTTTACCGTGAAATTAAAAGATAGAAGCTTTTTTTTAAAATGATAATTTGGTTAAACAAATAAACAAGAATTATTTGCAAAATATAAAAATCTGACGAAACTTTTTGATTGACGGTAATAACATCTAGAAATAATCAATATGTCGCCTTCTGAATTAAAAAAAATAAAGTTTTTTTTTTTTATAATCTGTTATTGTGAAAAACTTTTTGTTAAAGTTAAGTGTCGGTCTGTTAAATTTCCAACAAGAATATTGTTTGGCTTGAAGAGTGCGTCTTTCTTGGTAGGTAGACTCGAGAAATCTGCAAACCAAAGTCCTGAGTGAACACGTTAGGGTAGGAGACTAACTGAAATTGAGGCGTCTTGAAAAACTATGAAGATTGTATTACTGCCCTCTCCAAAGGTAGGAACGTTTTGGTTGCATGTCTGGGAGGGGCTGTGGAGGAGATTCTTACGACTTTTATTTGATTCAACCTTCCCGTATCAAGGTCGAAATACGCTTCATCCAAAAACTTTTCTGTATTCTTTTCTTTCGTTTTTTTTTATTACTTGTCTATTTTTATCTCTCCAACTTCTGATGCTTTCTTTCTTTCTTTCTTTCTTTCTTTCTTTCTTTCTTTCTTTCTTTCTTTCTTTCTTTACTTGCTGCTACGTTGCTTATTTTCTTCGACTTCTGTGCGTCTTAAGTTACTTGATCTCTTTTTGCATCGACATTCTTTAGGGACCCTTCACCAATAATTCTCTTCCGCTTTTGTTTTGGTCTTTTTATTTAGCTACTTGGTGCCGTAGATCCTCGTTAGTGGTTTATTTTCCTGGAAAAGAGGAAGAAAAATTGTTACAGACGTTAGAACTTTAAAACTTACGGTAGAATTGCTATCAATGATAAATCCAACATATCATCCTGGCGTCCGTTTAAACTGACACCTACTTTTTTTGTTCCATATATTATTACTAGTTTGCTTAAACTTTGCCTTTTTGAGATTTCAGATGAAAACTTGGTAATTTTTCAGCATATTTCATTTTAATTCTCAAAATTATAATTTATAACTAGAGTTTAAAGACATAAAAAAGAAAAAAAGGAAAAAAAGACGTAAGTCTAGACTGACGCCAGGGTGATATGGGTTTAAAAAAATATTGTGTTTGGTCCTTACCATCCTTATTTAATTTCGTTCAGTGCTAACTTTTCAAATGAAATTATAAAGCGGAAAGAATATACTATTCTTTTCGATCATTACATTCAACTGCAAAAGAAGGAAATGACAATTTTTTCGATCATTAGCATTCTGATCTAATTTTAAAAAGAAATAAATTATTATTATTGTTTTATTTTCTTTGATTTCTGATGTGTACTCATTTATTTCCGGGTCCCGCCCAGGGACCTAAGGTTAGAAATGGCATCATGACATTTTGCACTGGGGAAAAAGAAACATATTTTACATAGACAAAGCCCTTCGTAAGGTGTGGACTGTACTCGTGAGAACATTTTTTTTTTTGCATTTCTTTAAGGCATGGATTTCCAGGAATCCCTTCAATTAGTCTACTGGAATCTTTTCCAATCAATCCGAGGGCTCCAACTACAACAGGAATTGTTGATGTTCCCATGTGCCACACTTTTTAAATTTCGATTTCAAGATCATTGTATTTTGATAGCTTTTTGAAGATCTTGAAAGATACATTGCAGTCGACAGGGACTGCCATATTATTATTATTATTATTATTATTTACTTGGGTTTCTGTTGTATACACATTTTTCTGGGTCCCAACCAGAGACCTAAGGTCAGAAATGGCTTCATGACTTTTCCCACTAAAATAAAAAAAAATAAAAAAATAACCCTGAAGATCACATACATTTTACATAAAAAAGCTCTTCGTAATGTGTGAGCTCTACTTGTGAGTACAATTTTTTGTGTTTCTTTAAATCATGGGCTAGTAGGGATCCCTTTAATGAGTCTATCGGAACTTTTTCCAATCAATCCGAGGGCTCCAACTACAACTGGAATTTTTGATGTTCTCATGTGCCACATTTTGTAGATTTACACTTCAAGATACTACTACTATTATTATTATTATTATTATTATTATTATTATCGTTGTTATTATTATTCTAATTTTGGTTTAAAAGACAGAATAGCCGTTTTGATTATTCTAGGCGACGATAAAAAAAGGAAAGAAAATTTGTTAAAATCAATGAAAAAATATCATTACGATTATTACTTAAAAATCCTTACTTTAGAGAAGCGTACAAAAAAAGGCATTAGAAAATAAGTAAATAAAAAATAAGGACTGATATTCTTACCCATTTCATTAAAAAATAATTATAATCTTTTAATTAATTTAAAAAAAATAATTTCACTCCCAAGTAAGGCAACAAAGCCATAAAGACGCAAGGGGTTACTGAGTGTAGAAGAATATGAGAAAAAAGAAAACATGATTAAGGAGAGAGAACAATAATAAAAATTTAAAAAAATTAATTAAGAAGACAGAAGATAACGATTTACATTGCATTTAAATTTTTGAAGATCAAACTTGACCGGGAAGCAAGAAGCTGGGAGAGAGTTCCACAAGCGAGAAGTGCGATAGAAGAAACTGTTAGCATAGAACTTACGTTTGCATCTGGCCATTCCAACTGTAAAATGATGAGACCTTACTACCAATCGAGTACTACGTTTAAATTCGTAAAATCAAGGTACTATAGAGCAAAGTTCATCCGAGTAATTGGTTTTTAAAACTAAGTCAAATTTTAACAACTCATCTAGCTTATTTCAACCGTAAAATGATGAGAGCTAGCTGCTTAATTTAATAAAGTCTAGGTACCATAGAGGAAAGTGATATTTATTTTTGTAATATACAAAAAATGTGGCTCATGGTCATAAGTGGCTGGGGAGGCCTGGTCCTAATCTGTCTTACATTTAAACACATTGTTTAGCCACAATCACCGACCCAAATATCCCACAATAATCCTTATACCAAAACAACACATTCTTACTTATTATCCTTGCTACGGTCATTATAATACCTCAGAGTCTCTATGAACTCCTATTTCCCATATGTACCATAGAGGAAAGTTCATCGGAACATTTACAAAGAACGTATTTATAAAAAAGACACAGGAAAGGGACTGAAGCCGAGAAACCTTCCTAGCAGCAGACTTAATAATTGATTCAATATAATCTTTTCATTCGTGTCAGCTGAAAACATTACTTTGAAAAGACAGAATGAGTCACTCTTCTGGAGGTTAGCATCAGCCATGCTGATGGAAAGTAAAAAGGGTTCACTCAGACGATTAAAAGAGAGCAATTTCATTTTGGTTGCAGTCAGATTATGTCGGAGATTGATTTGTTTTCATGGTTTATCAACCCTTTGCGGATTATTTAAAGCCAAAACATATTCCGGATTATAGAAGGTTGCTGACAGTATCCGGTGTACCCAAGTGGGCTCACCATCTAAATACTAACCGGGCTACATGGTTAATGAGCTAATTTTGCTAACTTAGTTGTGATTTCGATCTTCAATAGGTTCCTAAGCTTGTGACTTTTAGCCAAACTCCGCTTGGTAAATAACAACAAATATATATATATATATATATATATATATATATATATATATATATGTGTGTGTGTGTGTGTGTGTGTGTGTGTGTTTGTGTTTGTGTGTGAAAGAGAGAGAGGGAGAGTGTAAATTATTTTCAGATAGAATGTACCAGTAAAGGAACAAAATGAATAAAAGACAAGAGGAAAAACTATTCTTAGCCGACGCGTTTCGCCCTCTGAGGGACTTTATCAAGACAAATTTGCAAATAAAATCCCTCAGAGAACGAAACGCGTCATAATATATATATATATATATATATATATATATATATATATATATATATATATATATATATATATATATAACA